TCTTGTGGAACACTCTCAAACCAGAACGAAAAGGGAGGAGAAACCCTATGTTGCATCTTCAAGTTGGAGATTTTCACAACAATAACCTGACCTATGTTGCGTTTTTAAGGAATTATCAAGTCACTTTCAATTGAAGATCACTTCACCATGTTGTTCAACCTAGAAATCGTCATAAGATTCTTAGACAAGGATAATTTGATTTAACTCTTAGTTAAACCTTGCTCACATCATTTTATTTTTTTTAAGTTACGCCTTCAAATATATCATATGTGTCACGTATTGTAAAAACTATACACATCATTCAGTTTTGGTCATGGAGGCAATTGCACAATTATATTTTTAACTTCGTAAGTCAAAAGAACCATTTTAAACCGTTTTTAACGAAATATGGAACTTTTTTAAAAGGTACGACAACATTTGAAAAAAAAACCCAAAATTATAGGAACCAAGTGTATTAAACCTTGAAGCTTTCATATCATAACATCCATCAGGGCCTATATCTATTGAATGCTGAGATCAAGTTTTAGTGGTAACACCAATGTTCATGTACAAGAAGTACTTTTTCCAAATTATGGAACTGTGCAATTGCAATATCACTAGACTTGACGGCCTAGGAGAGAAAGGATACAAATAAAAAACTTTTACTAAAATAGGATACGAACATGAAACATCAATTTTAAAAATTTGAATAGTATGTTAATTTTTTATATTAAATTATCATTTTTGTATTTATAATAATATTTTTAAAATTTATTAGAATCAAACTATATTGTAACACTTTCCCTGTTTCCATTAAAGTTTCCATTTTCACTTTAATTTTTCTTTTCGTTTTCGATTTCTCTAATTACAATGAAGATAATGGTAGCTGTCAAGTGAGTCACACTAGTACAGAATTGGGCTTTAACATTATCCCGTAGACGTCGAACAATAAAATAATCAGACAATTGCTTCCTCCACCACCCCAAACGACTCCCTCCATCTCTCCAATTTTTTATTTTATTTCAAAATTACCCTTTCTTACATTTATTATTTACTTTTTTAACTTTTAATGTTAAAATCCTAATCTCTTCTCCCACTTCTCATTTTCACTTTCAACACCACTAATACCCTCGCTTCTTCTCTTTTTCTCCCAACCCCACCCCCCGCTTTCCTTTTTTTCTCTCTTTCTCTGCAACCCACCCCCACCCCCACCTCCCCTCCCCTTCCCTTTCTTTGTTTCTATCACTTTCTTTTTCTACAACCCCCCACTCTCCCTTTCTTTTTCTCCCTTTCGTTATTTCTCTACAGTCCCACCCCCACTCTCCATTTCTCTCATTCTCGTTTGGTCTCTAAGAGGTTAGTATTTCTTTGCTCTTCTGTTGTAATTGATTGTATGATATGTGTTGTCTGTGTTTGCATTCTATGATATGTGCTCTGTGATTTTTACGGATGTCGATATCCGTTAACGGAGGTCGACATCAGATGAAGGAGAAGGGCCAACGGATCTCCTTGCTTCGCTTTTCGTTTTCTTGTTTTTTTAGGTTATTAATTTAATTATATTTAGTTGGTTAATTTTTGTACATTTATTAGTTGCAGGTGATGGAGTTGGGGTCCACGGCTATAGAAAAGAAAGTGTGGTTGTGTAGATATGTATGAGTGTGCGTCGAGAGAATGGAAGAAGGGTTCATAAAATGCATAGGGTAGATTTAGTAGGTTTAGAAATTTGAATGGTTGAAGAGAAGAAGGATGGGGGAGAGTTTATTGGGTCATGAGTATAGCATATGAAAGGGAAGAGTGAGAAAAGAAGGAAGTTGGATAATTGATGATGTTATGTTGTGGTTGGTGAGGGAGTTATTGTTACGTGAACATTAATTGGGAGAAGAAAGAAATGAGAGTGCATGGAAAGTCTCTTGAGGTGCAAGAGATGTGTGTTTAAGACGGTTGCCTTTTTATTTTGTTAGGATGTATGATGTCTCTACAGAGGCCTTATTAGTATATAAATTGTAGTGGTAGGTAAAAGGGGGTCTCATAGGTGGAAAAAAGAGAATTGGTATATGCATATGTGTTTTTATACTGTGTTAATGGTGGAAAGAAAGATTGGAAAGCTGAACGGATATGGAAAATCTAAACATTCATCCCCGGATGTGGAGATGCGTTTCGTGTGGAAGTGGAAGAGTGCGGGGGTGCATTCATACAGGCAACCATTAATATTTTATTAATAAAGTGAATGGATGTTGGTGAAAATTAACCTCAGAAATAATTACTGAAGGGCAAAAGAGGAATGGGGAGGTGGAGAGAGTAGTCTGTGGTGGTGTAGGGAGCAACTCACAAATAACCAACGTAAATTATTGACGCGGTGGCATTCGTAAATAAGCACGGCATTCAGAATCACCTCGTTAGGATATGGGAGCCCAACATAGTCATTGATGCTTGACAGGTGCTGCATCAAGCATCCCTGTTTCTGTGAGAAGGTCCAACGCATATTTTCGCTGTGACAGAAGGATGCCCTCTTTGTTCTAGCAAACCTCGAAACCCAGAAAGTAAGATAGATTACCAAGATCTTTATTTTAAATTGATCATCAAGCATGTTTGTAATGGTATCAATATCATGTATGTTGTTACCAGTAAGTATGATATCATCAACATAAACAATATTATAGTGATATTATTCCCCACTATGTTTGGTAAAGAGAGAGTGGTCACCAGATGTTTGTGAAAAATTGTGAGAGAGAAGAAAAGAGGACAACTTGGCATACCACTGCCTGCTAGCTTGTTTTAAACCATAGAGGGATTTGTGGAGAAGACAAACCTGGTTTTTACCTGGGGCAGTGATCCATGGTGGCACAGCTGCAATCACTTATTCACTTAAATCAACCATGTAAGAAGCATTGTTGACATCTACTGGCGTAGAGGCCAATTTTGAGACGCTGCTAAAGATAAAATAAAGCGAACACTGGTTAGTTTAACTACAGGGGAAAAAGTGTCAAAGTAATCAATACCCTCCATTTGAGTGTAGCCCTTGGCAACTAGGCGAGCTTTGAATCGATCTATGGTCCCATCAGGTTTTTGTTTGTTTTTGTACACCCATTTGCACAGTGGCCTCTGGTTGGGGGGAAGGGGGTGATGGTCCAGGTTTGGTTGGGCTCAAGAGCAACAATTTCTTCCTGCATAGCTGTTCGCCAATGAGCATGCTTCAAGGCCTCCTTGTAATCTGGGGATCAACCAGACTATCTAGAGAAAAAATAAAGGCTTTATATAGAGATGATAATCTGTCAAAAGTCAAAACACTTTCAATAGGGTATTTAGTGTTAGTGGTGCTATAAGAAGATATCTGGAAATCTTTTAGGTAGGCAGGGGGTTTTCTAACTCTAGTGGTTCGTCTAGGAGTATGATGTTCTTCTTCTGTATTATCCTGGATATGGTTATAAGAATGGGCAGATTATGAGCTGGAATAATAGGGTGAATATGGTCATCATCATAAACAAATTGAGTATTATGTATAGGCAGAGAAAAGGAAAGGTCAAAAGCATCATTAGAGTGGTATTAGGAAATTCAGATCAATAAAAATGGACATTGCGAGAATTTTAATATCATGTGTGGTAAGATCATAGGTAATGTAGCCTTTTTGTAGTGGGATGTAGACCAAGAAATAGACTAGGTTTGGAACGGGGATCAAGTTTCTTCCTATTGGCTTGAAGGGTACTAACATAGCAAGACAACCAAAAACTTTAATCTAGAAAAATCAAAAATCTTCGGAGCATTATAACATGTCATTGGTGAGCTATTATTGAGGAAAAGGGGTAGGCATGATGTTAATAAGCAAAGCAGCATAGTTAAGAGCATAGGTCCAAAAATGAATGGGAGTTTTGGAATGAAAAAGTAAAGCTTTAGTTACATTTAAAAGATGTTGATGTTTCCTCTCAACTATACCATTTTGTTGAGGGGTTTCAATGCAAGATGTTTGATGAATAATGCCTTGCTCAATTGAAACAAATTCTGTATAGCAAACTCATTTTCCATTATCGACCTAATGGCTTGATATGCTGAATTTGAATGGTTTTTAAACATATTGCAATAAAATGAACAATATGTTGGCGAAGTTCAGATTTGCTTTTTCATTAAATGATCCAGTGTATCTAGTACAATCATCCACTATGGTTAGAAAATATCTATGAGGAGTGCAGTGAAGGATTGGAACAAGGCCCCAAAGATCAAGTGAATAAGAATAAGATCAAAAGATTTAGGAATGAGAGGGTACTATGAGAAAATGGCAACTGGTTTTGTTTGCCGTTGACCAGGAATTACAATTATCAGTTCTTGAGTCTATGTAGCTATGCTTTTGTTTTAAAATTTCTAATCTGCTATCAGATAAATGGCCTAGGCGATTGTGCCAAATATTTTTACAAGCCGATCTAGGTATATGATGTTTTTCAACAGAATGAACAAATATGTGTGTAGTGTTGATAGGGCCACGAAAGATGTTACAGTCCTCCATGTAATCTTCAACTGAACCAATCTTGTTGTTTGGTTCAAATCCTGAATGACACAGGGTTGAGTTAGTAAATATACTGCGACAAACATTGATTGTTGTGCCAACCAATTTAGATATGGAAATGAGGTTATAGCAGAAATATGGAATAAAAAGAAATCTTTGAGAAGAATTTTTTCAGATTTTTTTAACAGTTCCTTTATAAGTGGCTGTGGTTTTCATTGCCATTAGGAAGGTTCATGGTGAAAGGAGATCTTTTCATGAGAATATAAGTGAAATAAGAGAGGAGACAACATGATCTGTTGCGCCAGAGTCCAAGATCCAGGAGATAATACCTTGGTCTTCATGTGAATTAAGGTTAAAAGTGGTTGTACCTGAATTAGTAGAGTTAGAGATCATGGAACTGATTTGGCTGGATGATGTTGCTCCTGTATCATTAGGATGTTTGATAAGAGCCATGAGAGCTTGGTATTGTTGTTGAGTCAAACGAACTTTGGATGAGGGCCTCCACAAGATCATCCTTTTTGGGTCGATGGTGTCAGAAGAGTCTTGCCATTATGAAAGTTATGACCAGGAGGAATCCGTGTTTCCTGTAGCAGGAAGGCGATGGTCTGTGGCCATTTTTTCCACAAGGAGCAAGTCTTTCTTCCAGTAGAATTTCTGTTATTGGGGAAGCCATGTTTCTGAAGCAAACAGAATCTGTGTGGCCCTTCTTGCCACAATAAGAACAAACAGAGGACTAACAGCGGCAACACTTTTTATTTCTAATCAGTAAGAAAGGGATTATCATGGGACTTGCCTTTCTGCTGCAACAACATATGAAAAAATTTTCGAAAAAGGAGGATAGGTCCATCAACAAAAACAGGAGATGGATATTACCATATTGTTGTTCAAACACGGAGAACTGTCAGACCGATCTCCTGCTTTCTTTGTGAGAGAATGAGAGAAGGAAAAACCAATTGGCGAAGCACATCTAACTTCACAGCAGGCAAACTAGTTAGACGAAAACACTCAGCTCATCCCATTGATACGCGAAAGAAGTTTGGTTGAAAAACGCAGTACATAAGGTCTCCTTGTTTCAAGGCGCTGATTGAGTTGTAATTCAGAAACTTACGTAGGAGGGCTCCTTGAAAGAATCTTGATTTTAGATTCATCCCAAAGGCTGGCACTATCCATCCAGGAGAATGCTATGGCGAGTCTGGACGAAAGAAGAAATGGAATGACCAACATGAGGACCACCATATATTGCATCTTTTCCAGGCATCGTAAATGCTGTCTTCCTTTTGCGGTTGTTCAGTGGTTCCATTCAACAAATGGATTTTGTTCTTGCGATTAGGGCCGAGTGAGGATGACTTGCTCCAAGATGGTAGGTGGTAGATTCAAGAATGAGGGGGAAAACCAGTGGGACAACAGGGCTTTCACTTGGATGGAGGTAGAGAAAGCTAGTAGAGTAAATTGGGGTTATGATCGTCGGCCATGGTGCAAGAACCTTGTGAAGAAGTGAACCAAGAAAACAGAAAGAAGACAAAGAAAAGAAAATAAAATAAAGAAAAGAAAGAGTAGAGTGGCGAACAGAGCTCTCAAATGAAGAGCTCTGATACCATCAGAGAAAATATGCAATTGGAGCATCTGTATATTCACCGACATTGTAGCACAGAGAAAAGAAAACTTACAGGGAAAAAGAGAGAGAACAAAGAGAAAGCACCGTGTAAAAAGTAAAGTACATTATTGCTTATGAGTATCTGAAACTTATGTTTACAAAAGGTAAAGGAGTAAATATATATAGAACGAAACTAAACTAAAGGAACTAAAAGAATCAAAAGCTAACTAAAAGTAATCAGTGTATTCTGACAATTTTGAAAAGATATCAAGTGAGTCCTTTCCGTAAGTTGGCTGGACGGCGTTAAAAAAATTGATGAGTGGATGCTGAGATGACGAACGAAACGCTGTCCATAGCGAAACGAACGCTCGTCCACCAGCGAACGAAGCTCGTCACACAAGAGAACGACCGATCGTCGACCTCTTTACTTGCTGGACGACCGTTCAGTTCATACTGGCGGACTCCGGGCACTACGGCACAGGGACGGAAGAGGATCTCTTCCTCCACCTCCCCAATTTTCTAAAATGCCAATTATATCCTTCTAAAATGACAATTATATCCTCAAAAGTTAAAATTTTTTATTTTTATTATTTTAATATTTTAATTTATTTAAAACTTCTGATTTACTTCTCTGCACCTCTTCCTCTCTTCCATTTCCGTTTATCTTTCTCTCTTCCGTAAAGCTTCTTCTCCATTTCTCCATTTTCGTTTATCATTTTCTCTTCCGTAAAGCTTCTTCTCCATTTCTCCATTTCTCCATTTCCGTTTATCATATATAACATTTAAAATTATAAATTTAAATATAAATTACTGTAAATAAAATAAACAAATAAAATAAAAACGAAACGAAAAAGCAACGCTGCCTGGACGGATGACATCCTTCAACGGATGTCAACATCCGTTTAAGGCAAAACGGATGTCGACATCCGTTTCTCCTTAAACGGATGTTGACATCCGTTGAAGGATGTCATATGTGGCTTATTGCAGGTGGCAGAAGAACCAGAACAATTGTTGCAGTAGCTAGCCTTGTCTATGATTCAGAAACTAAAGGATCAAATAAGAAATGTAGACGTCATTGCATTGTTGCATGTTTATTGTCTAACACTTAATAGGTTGTACGATTCTTAACACGGTTTTTTTATATCATTTCTGTCATTGACAGAAATTTATTAAAGATTATAAAATTATGCAAGTCTTTGTTTCCTATTTGTTAACTCTGGTTCATGACTTTATGATTCTGAACTAAATTTCAAATCATTAATACGTTAGCAGCTTTCTGAAACGTTGATTAGTACATAAGCATATGTAGTTTTAGCTGTTTTTTTCTTGATTTAGTGACTTGTTTGTGAATTTCAGAAACCGAGAAAGGCGTGTTTGATGACGTTTTGGGTGTTAAGTTAGATATGGATAGCGAGCCATGGCCTTCTACATCAGACGCTGCAAAAGATCTGATCAGAAAAATGCTTACTTATGACCCTAAGGAACGGATTACAGCTGCTGAGGCCCTTGGTAAATTTGTGTTATTGTTTTGATAGTTTTACTAGTTTCAGATAACAGTGATCGATGCTTTCATCACCCCTTTCCACACACCGTAACTCTTTTGTAATAAGCAACGCAGAGTTTTAACTATTATCTCTCAGTTACACATGTTAATTCACAAACAGGATTACCAACTTTAAATATTCAAGTAAATCACATTATGTGTTTGAACCAGAACATCCATGGTTGAAAGAAGGTGGTCAAGCATCAGAAAAGCATCCAGACAGTGCTGTTTTAAGTAGGATGGAAAAGTTCAAAGCAATGAACCAGATGAAGAAGCTTGCAATGAAGGTCCGTCAAATTTTTCAGCTGTGCATCAAATTTAATCAAATAAATTATCAAATACCACGCAAAGTGAAAGTTTCATTATAAAAAATCGTGTTACACTTTCTTGGTACGACAAAAATGAGGTAAAATACACTTTAACTAATAGAATTTGTTATTTCTGAACATGGAAGGTAATAGCAGAAAATCTTTCAGAGGAAGAAACAAAGGGCCCCAGACAAATGTTCAACAATATGGATACTGATGGCAGTGGCACTATCACATTTGAAGAACTCAAATCTGGATTATCCAGATTGGGTTCCCTGCCTAGTGAATCTGAAATAAGGCAGCTATTGAATGCTGTAAGTTCAGTTCATGGTAATGAGAAAAGAAATATTTAAGCTTTTTCTCTATTTATTAAGCAAGACTAAACTGTGTTATATGCTCTTTCTTCATCACGTGCACTGTCAGATTGGTAATGACAAGAATGGAACAATTAACTATTATGAATTCGTTGCTGCCACCATGGATCGACACAGACTGGAGAAGGGGGGGAGTTTGTTCAAGGCTTTTCATTACTTTGACAAGGATGACAAGGGGTTAGTCTTCAGTTCATTAATTTTATAAGCTTTATAAATCTGTATTTTCTGGTACACAAATACAGATACAAGATTTTCGTCTATTTTGTAGTTTTGAATCTTACTAATTCTTCTTTGATTGAAATAATTTTTCCACTTGAGTGGTTATATAACGAGAGATGAACTTGGGGAAGCTATCACTGTACACCAAATGGGAGATGAAGCTACGATAGATGGAGTCTTCGAGGATGTAGACTCTGACAAAGTGTGTTGTAGAGTAATTTTCTCCTATGTCTGCTCTTCATGTGAATTGTGACTAACAGTAGAGTTGGTTTTGATTTTGCAGGATGGGAAAATTAACTATGAGGAATTTATGAGCATGATGAGAAACGAATGCTGAAAAACTATGACAAACGATAAGATCAGCTAAACGCACTACTACAGTCTAATTCCAAATTACCGTATTCTCTATACGACAAAAGCAAAACTCCCACTGTCATTCCAAACACATTAGTAATGTTATTACAAAGATAATTTTATATACAACATGTTTTTTATTAGCAAAACGGATGTCGACATCCGTTTCGCCTTAAACGGATGTTGACATCCGTTGAAGGATGTCATCCGGCAGCGTTGCTTTTTCGTTTCGTTTTTATTTTATGGCTCATGCAAGGATTATAGGCTTGGATATTAAAAGGATTATTGGAAGTATGGGAAGGCTTTAGGGTTTAGGATTATAGGAAGGATTATGACTACGTATCTGGAGAGGAACCACGACAAGAACACTACACCATAAACGCACTGCACCACCTACTGTATCGAGAACAAGAGGAAGATTGCTTGATAATTCTTTTCACGATCACCAAGCTTTGCAGAAAAATATTTTATTCATACAAGGAACTAGGTAGGTTATCAGTTAAATATGTTATAAATGAATAAAATTAAAAAACAATAATTTTAAAAATAAAATTTTACTGAGGGGCAAAATAGTAAAGGAAAGGTGGAGGAAGGGGCAAAAAAGTAAAGGGGAGGTGGAGGAAGAGATGTGTGGGGGTGGAGGGAGCAACTCCCCTATTTTGGTAACCTAGTTTGGATTGCACGAGTGTTTTAAGGTAATTTCTTTTTGCATTCCTAATTTTGCTTTCTTGCACCCCTAATTTTCGTAATCTCAATTTTGTTCTTGTTCTTAAGAAATGTTATTAAAATAAAGAAGAATTAAAATGGTATTCTTCTCCTTCCTTCCAACACTACCTTTCACCCCTCACCTCGTCACTTGCTTCGTCTCTTTTCTGTTCTTTATTCTTATTTTTTTCCTTTTTTTTCTTTCTCGTGTGTAGAAGAAAATCCAACAACCAAGATCCAAAATCCAAGATTTTGTTAAGCTTCAAAAGAGGCAAGACTGTGTTTTGTGGCTTTTGTAGTTATGCAGTAGGGTTTTGGTACAGGTGTGACAATGGTAGGTGCTTTGTGTTTGGGTAATTTTAATTTAGTTTCGAATTTGGTAATAGAAAATGTAGTATCGGATCTTAGAGTGTATACCGAATTGAGCGGAAGCATGAAGTTAAGATAGTATCAAATAGGGCACTCTAGAATGCAGTACCAAATTCAGGAGTGTACTCCGAATGAGGCAATATAATATATATCTAAGAGATGAATAAACAAGGTTAATATTAAGGCTTAATATTTGGTTCCTAGTGGGTTTTTTTCAAAGTCGTCATACCTTATAAAAAATGTTCATTTATATTTCGTTAAAAATTATTCAAAATGATCTTTTTGACTTACGATATTAAAAACATAATGGTGCAGTTGTCTATATGATCAAAATTGAATTAAGTGTTCAGTAGGTCAATTAAGATGTAAATTTTAAAAACAAAAATTAATGACTTGGAAAAAGTTTAATATAGGGTTAAATGAGATGATGTTGTTGTTGTGTTCCATGACTTAATGATGTGTGCCCATCATCTACCTTTTCTTCAAGTTCGTCATCACCGTAAATCTCCATTCTTTTAACACAAATATTATCACATCTCACCTGTACAAATAGAAAAACAACAACCCATTACCCATTTCTTCATCCTAAACCCACAATCAACACATTATTCCAACACCATTTTTTCAAGTTCAATGCTTACACAATAACACTATCGAAATCCACACGGTAACCATCCAAAATCTCCATTTTATTTCCCTTTCTCCTCTTTCCATTCGCGCATTAAGAATACAAAAAACAAAGGGGAGTCACCATTCCACCATCACCTAACACAAAGTAATTAAAAACAGGAACGAGAAATCCCAAATTGCAAGACCAAAACCTAAAACGCAAAATCAACTCAAGAAAAGGAAAACCAATTCGCAAACAAAGTAAAAAAAAAAACATAAAAATCAACCCTGATTCAAAACCCTAATATGAAATTCTTAAAATTTGCAAGATTGAAGTACAAGAAAAGGAAACCCCAAAACACTGCAATCTAAAATCCCCTTCTTGTGGAACACTCTCAAACCAGAACGAAAAGGGAGGAGAAACCCTATGTTGCTTCTTCAAGTTGGAGATTTTCACAACAATAACCTGACCTATGTTGCGTTTTTAAGGAATTATCAAGTCACTTTCAATTGAAGATCACTTTCACCATGTTGTTCAACCTAGAAATCGTCATAAGATTCTTAGACAAGGATAATTTGATTTAACTCTTAGTTAAACCTTGCTCACATCATTTTATTTTTTTTAAGTTACGCCTTCAAATATATCATATGTGTCACGTATTGTAAAAACTATACACATCATTCAGTTTTGGTCATGGAGGCAATTGCACAATTATATTTTTAACTTCGTAAGTCAAAAGAACCATTTTAAACCGTTTTTAACGAAATATGGAACTTTTTTAAAAGGTACGACAACATTTGAAAAAAAAACCCAAAATTATAGGAACCAAGTGTATTAAACCTTGAAGCTTTCATATCATAACATCCATCAGGGCCTA